AGACTCTGTCAAGAGGCTAAACTCCTAACAGTCAATCGAGTCAGAATGGTCACAGCTGAGACACCAAACTGAGATATATCCACCCCCTTCAGGAATCAAACTGCTTTGGTATTCCTTACTGGGTAAACAATAGGATACCGGGATATAAACCATACAGCTCATGCTCCAGTCAAAATTACACACTTTTAAGGCTTACTTATTTCAGAGAGACTGAGAAACTTGCTTTGCTCTCCCAATGTACCTCATGGAACGTTTAAAGTGTTGAAATTTGGGTGTATTGTACCTTTTTATTATTCAACTCCTAATTACCCTGCTACACTACTATATATAGCATCTAAATGCATGCCTAATTTACTAGGCATTGTGTGAAATCATTCTGCAGAAGCTGGACTAAGATCAGCAGCTATATAGTGCATCTAATAGACATTTTGGAAAAAATCATAGATGTATGCAAGAAAATGTATTTTAGTATAATTCTTTATAATATACTTTAATCTTTCATTTTTAAAAAACTCAACAGCTTTGATATATGAATAATTCCACCACCACAGGGTTGCCAACTCCAGCTTGGGAAATTCCTGGTCATTTGGGGGTGATGCCTGAGGAGGGTAGAATTTGGAGAGAGAACTCAATGGGGATGCGATATCACAGATTCTACCCTCTGAAAACTGCCATTTCCTCCAGGTCAACTGATTTATGTAATCTAGAGATCAATTGTAATTCTATAAGAACTCCAGGCCCAAACTGGAGACTGATAATCCTACTCCTGGTTTCTAAGTACTTTAGAACCTGGAATTTATAAAAAGATTGTGCACAGGTGTTAGTTAGAGGCCTGCATACAAGAATGTGACTGGGATGTTGAAATCAATATGTGAAACCAAACTAGATTTGCCAATTCTGGGTTGAGAAATTGCTGGATACTGGGGTGGGGGGAGGCAGGGTTTGGGGAGGATAGGGGTGTCAGTGGGATGGAGCCCAATCCTCCAAAGCAGCCATTTCCTCCAGGGGAACTGATCTCTGTAGTCTGGAGATCAGCTGTGATTTCAGGAGAGTCCAAGCCTCACCTGGAGACTGGCAACACTAAAGCAAACTGCTCTCATTTACTATTTTTTGCCCTGTGGCTGCATCATGTTCTCCCTGACCCACAGCTGTTCAGCCACCAATGTTTTCTAACCCCGACCATTGCTGCCTTCCCAGCAGAGGCCTGCCAGTGTATGAAGAGTTTTCTTCCCCCCAAAGTCCCTGTGTCTTGGCTCAGAGTCTGCCTGCAACCTGACCTTCTTGCTGCCATTCCTTTGGACAGTGAGAGAATGGGAAAACAAAACAAAACACCATCATTACACACAGTGTAATGTCATTTCTGGGGGAAACCAAGAAGTGATGCCACATTGCTCTAGGAACTGATCCAACAATTCCTACACTGGTGTGATGTCACTTCCCATTTCCCCCAGAAGCAATGGCACACCACGCATGACACTGGCGCCCCCATGTCCCACCCCTCCCCATCTCCTGCAGGGTGTGCCAGCCACTGGGTGCCAATGTTACTTTGGCTCCTCTTCTTAGCCGCCTGCCTTCTCCTGCCTTCCTTCCCTCAGGTATGTGTTTATTTCATGTACCCTTCTCTGCTTCTAAGCTGTACTGCATTCTGTCAGGTTGTAGTCAGGATAGGGTCTGTGGGGATGCTGACTGACTTAAAGTATTAATTTACCCCCTGTATTATCATTTTTTAAAAAAACTTTTAAATGTATGATGATGATGATTGTGATGATCATAAGTTTAAAATTAGATTTAAAATCCATCAGTCAAAACTATCAGACACAATAAAAAGATGCATATGTAAGTAACAGGGGGGGGAAGATTAATAATCCCATTAATGAATAAAAATTCATAAGCACCAGTTTAGGCACAAAAGCTTTCTAAAAACCTGCAGCAAGTTGGACAGCCCCGCCTCCCAAAGAAAGAAGTTGCTCACGGAGGATACCTCTTTAGAGAAGGTCCCCGTGTATATCATGGTTTTCCACTACATTTTTGATAGAGGGGGAACTCATAATTGGCCCTCTCTCAATGACCACAAGGCACAGGGGGTTCCTTCCGATTTCGAGGTACCAGATCATTTAAGGCTTTAATGGTCAAAGCTAGCACTTTGAATTGAGGAACCAACTTGACAACTAGTGCAGCTGTTTGAAAACTGTGGAATATGATCTATCTAGACATTCTCTGAAAAATTCTGGACCAGGTGCAGTTTTTGAATGCAGCCCCCCACAGAGTGCATTGCAGTAGTCCGATCTTGAGGTTACCAGGCCATATATGGAGGTAGCCACATCCCTATTCGCCAGGAGAGGGAGCAGCTGGCACACCAAACAAAGCTGGGAAAGGCATTCCTGGCCTTGGATGCCACCTTGAATATCAAGAAACATTTTCAGAACCTGGATAACCTCCAAGGAAAAAGTCTAAGCTTTCAAATGGAACGTAGTGCCATTCAGAACAAGTCTATTCCCTGGGTCTCCCATCATCAATACTGAAGTCTTATTTGGACTGGGACTGGGTCTATTTTCCCTCATTCATCCCACTAGTATCTTTGGAAAATTATCTTCACTTCTGTCTGTGGCCCCGGGGACATCCTCTCATTTAGATAAGCTTTTGCCAGAGTCTTCTAGTCTCTTCTGGTGTATCAACAAAAACAGCCACTTGTTAGATTTTGCAGCTAAATGCTTTGTAACTTAGAGAGCAATCCTAGGCAGGTGTATTCAGAAGTCCCATGTTAGTCAATGGACTTACTTCCAGAAAAGCGTCCTTAAGATTACAGCCATACTTACTACATTTACAATCTGCCTTTCTCAGATTTACAATCTGAAGGCAGAACATGCTAACTTTTGTGTGTTATATGCTGTCAAGTCACTTCTAACTTAAGGCAACCCTATAAATTAATAGCCTCCAAAACGTCCTGTCATTAACAGCCCTGCTCAGGTCTTGCAAACTGAATGCTCACATACAAAATGCAAATTCCGCTGATAGCCAAAACCGGCAGGTGTGTGTTTTTGATAGTCAGAGTACCACAATCAGCTGCCCCACAGTACACAGTTTTGACAACTATGCCTTTTTGTTGCCTTGTTTAACAGAAAATGCCACCAGTGGCCAAAATCAACATGCAGCTATTTATGTCACTACACTAACAAACTAGAAAGAGCCAGGATTAGCAAAATTATAGATAGGGTTATCAGGGAACTGGGAGAGGGCAGGGACATAGGGGGCATGCAGCATTGTGTGTAAAACCATAGAATTGCTAGCAATTCCTAGAGTGACCTGATGTCACTTCTGGTTTTTCCCTGGAAGTGGCATCACAGCACATACGATGCTAATTTTTTAAAAATCTCCCACCACTGAGTGGCATCAGGCAACATGGGCTGCAGAAACTCTAGATGTAGAGCAGGGGTTGTCAGTTTCCTATGCCCTTGTATCACTTCCCATTCCCATTCTTTGATTCTGTTTCTCCAGCCAGACTGGCTACGACCAATGGTACTCAGAGCCCTTATTATCAAGGGATTTAGTTGGATCAGATGGAAAAGAAAGGTCACAGGGAGGTTGGGTTGTAGCTGTTGAAAGCAGGGGATATGGCAGAACACTTCAGTAGGTGCACTACTGGCTTGCACTCTAAAGAAAGCAAACCCAGCCAATGAGATGAAAAAGGTATGGGCAGCAAAAACACTAAAACAAAGGAAGGAATGAAAACTTCAGACCACCACAGCCATTCTCTGTATGAGGCACTATAGGAATGGCTCCTGTCCATGAAGCAATGTTAAGGGCCTCCATTATTAGAAAACTGTGGGAAGAATAGAATAGTACAAGAAATTATCTCTACTGATGTATTATAAGAAAGAAGAGACTCATTAACTCTGAGAGAAAGCACCACTTAAGGCCACAACATACCTGTGTGCATCTGCTAAGTTACTGGTTTGTCTTTTCTTCAGTCATATGGAGCTTGGTGATCTTCCCAGATTATTTCTCTGCCCCTTCTTGTTAGACATAGTACAGGAAAGGGAGAGGGGAAACAGGGTGCCTAGATAGGGAGAAAAAACTGGAAGGCTGAGAGGAAAAAACCACAGTAACAGAGTGGTTGGCAGAAGGGTTGTCAGTGAGACAGGGGGGACCTCAAGAAAGAATAACTTATATCACCAGAATTAGTCAAAACGGTTAAAGGTCTGATTTCTTTCGTCGCTGAGTATTTTTTTTATAACATCTTCTCTTCAGGAATATTTATAAATATGCTCATGGTGACCTTTAGAGCACTAAATGGCTTGGATCCAGACAAGCTGAAGTCCCCAAGCTTTGAGAGCAATGGGCAAAGCCCTCCTGCATTATGTGAGGTTCTGTGTGTGTTTATGTGCCATCAAACTTGCAAACTGGAGGCTGTAGCTTCCTTTATTGAGTCCATCTGTCTCATGTTGGGTATTCTTCTTTGCTTACTGCCTTCAGCTTTTCTTAGCATTATTGTCTTTCCCAGTGAGTCTTGACTTCTCATGATGTGACCAAAGTACAAGAGCCTCTGTTTAGTCATTTTCGCTTCTTGGGAGAATTCAGGCTTAGCTTGATCTAGAACCCAATTTGTCTGGATACATGAGCTTATTTTATACTCCTGGATTAAGCAAAATCAGTGCTGAGGAACCTCTCCAATTTTCAGGCAGAAGCCATTCACAAGACCTCGTGCCTGATCTTTTGTTTGAAAGCAGAAATTGACTTTTTGCGTACAAAGCAGATATTCTAATACTGAGACAAAGGTTAGGTTTTGTAAAACTAGATCCTAAGCAAAAAGATACATTTCTTTATTTTTAGATCAGATGAATTTGCCAAGATAATGAAGCACATTTGTATCCAGATGTTTTTGTAGTTTTCATCAAATATCTGCAACTAAAATGCAGTTGTGTGTAATTTTAACCTTTTTTCTAAATCATAGGTATTATTTATTAGTGTTTTTATTTATTAAAGCGGTTTGTTCATGACAGGCTGGGACTAACGGCTACATGGCTCCTGAAATCCTAAAGGAAGATGAAACTTACTCCTACCCTGCGGACTGGTTTTCACTGGGATGCACTATTTATGAAATGGTTGCTGCTCGAACTCCATTCAGGGATCACAAAGAGAAGATCAGTAAAGAAGAGCTAAAGAGAAGGACCATAGAAGATGAAGTGAAATTTGAGCATTCTGGCTTCGATGAGGCAGCGAAAGATATTTGCAGAATGTTCTTAGCTAAAAAAGTTGAAAATCGTTTAGGAAGCAGGTATGTTTTTACTTTATTTGATTAATAAAGAAGTTAATCAGTGATTTTGTCCCCATCGGTGGGTGGCAGGACTTCGGAAGCATCTTCCATGGTCAGCAGTCTCACCTGGACTCAGTTGTGCTAATTAAAGCTCCCTTTATTGCCAAGAATCACATCCACACAGGTATCCACATGAGCACAGTTTCCTTCACCTGCCAACATTGCCCCTCAATACCTCAGGGGGCTGAGCTGTGCCTCTCTGCTGTGGGGCAATCCCACCAGGCCTGCCCAGGTCTAGTTGACTTATCTTGCCCAAGGCCCCAGCTCCTCCTCTATGCTCCTCTTCCTCCCATCTCAGCCTTTCTTAGCTAGCATGCCTCCCTTTCCTCCCCGTCTCCCTTGACATCTCACTTTTTATCTCTGGGGCGCCACCCATGCTGGCCAAGCCCAACACTGCTCCTCCCTTCTCTGAACCTTGGTCAAGCCCTTCCTTGCCTTGTCCCACCCTGTAATGGAGCAGCTGCTGCCCTTGGTCAAGTAGGTGGAGCCTCCTCTGGCTTCATCCATTCCTTTTTAGGAAACCAGATGCAAAGATACTATAATGTTTTGGGTCACTGTCATTGACACTAAAAGGGTGCCGTGCATCACATGATATTCAGACACAGGCATAAATATTAGCAGTGCTAGAAAGCAGAAGAGGGCTAAACTGAATATATCATCTACCTAATGTAGGTTTTATGCTCTCATTGCAGATAACAGGGGAACTGATTCAAGATTCATTTGTTAAAATGTCATCAATCTTTTCTTTAACTGGCCTCACTAGAATAGGACCAAAGTACATACAATAATTGGGGATGAGTGACAGGATCCCTTATGGGTAGTTTAGCCTTGAAAACCAGCCTGGGGTAAGAAGGACTATATGAACTGGGGCTCAGTGCTAGGAAAGAGAGAGCTAACCATTTATCTTTGTGCTGTTTCTCCAGTCGAAACTAGCACCCTCAGATTGCTCTTAGCCCTGCAAGGGAAAAACAGAGACAGGAAAGAACTGGGATATTTCAGCCATTACATTTTTTATTTAATTCAAAATGCTAAAGAAAGTCTTCCCCTGTGGTTTTGTGGCTTTGTGATCTTTAGAGAATCAGATGTAAAATAGACTTTCCATCCATCTCCTCCTATCCTGGAAACAATGCAAATTAATGCATCTGAAGGTGATATATGCTGTATGTCTGCTCAACTCTTTGAGAAACCACACTTTCTGAGTCCTGGGCTGCATCCACCTGAGGGATTTTTCACCATAAGGGAACACAGGAAGCCCCCAAATTTAACCGGAACTTTCACATGATGTTGTGCTCATTGTGAACATGACTCCCAGGCATTCTTGGGCTTTCCCTTTTGAGCTCAATCAAAGGGAAATGTGCTTTTTCCAGCAAATGACATATTTCTTTCTTTCTTGGAGGAAGACTTAGCAGAAGGGAGTCATCGGGATCCAGCCCAACATGACTGACAGTCCAATCATTCCTTAGAATGTGTTCAAATGCTATAAAGCAGCCTGAATTCTACTCAGAATCATACTCAGGTCTATCTACTGGGGCTTACTGTACTATGTATGGTTCCTTGGAGGAGGAGGAGGAGGAGGAGGAGGA